TCCTCTTTCTTTCTTTCTTTCTTTCTTTCTTTCTTTCTTTCTTTCTTTCTTTCTTTCTTTCTTTATCCTTCCTTCCTCCCTTCCTTTCTCCCTCCCTCCCTTCCTTCCTTCCTTCCTTCCTTCCTTCCTTCCTTCCTTCCTTCCTTCCTTTCTTTCTTTCTTTCTCTCTCTCTCTCCTTCTCTCTCTCTCTTTCTTTCCTTTTTTTCTTGGGTTTGGGCCCAAAATGAACGCTTGGGATAACTCCTGGCTCTGCATTCAGGCATTACTCCTGGCAGTACTCAGGCAATCACATGGGATGCTGGGGATCAAATCAAAGTAGGCTGTTTGCGAAGAAAGTCCCCAACCTTCTGTACTATCTCTCTAGCCCTAATTATCATCCTTTAAACATGCGTATCTGGCTTGGTCTTCAAGCCTGTATTCTCCTTTGAACATGTATCTTGCTTGCTTGTCTGTCTGTTTCTTTGCTCTTATTTTCATTCTGGAGAAGCCTGTGTTTTCTCTTGAAAACACACTTCTCCCTTTATCTCTTTTCATATCTTTCCAAATAAGTTTCAATAAAACTGTCCTGTTTAATAAAAATGTGTACCAGTCATTTATATGCCTTGCTTGTTTGTTTGTTTGGGGGCTACACCCAGTGATGCTTAGTGTTTTACTCCTGACTGTGTTCAGGAATCACTCCTGGTAGTGCTTAGGCAACCCTATAAGTCTGGCAACTGAACCAAGGTTGGCTGCTTGCAAGGTAAGTGTTCTCCACTATCTCTCTGGACTTTGTCTTCTTTTTTGAAGTGTCTATTCAAATCCCTTGTTACCTTTTTAAAAAGTTGTTTGGGTTGGATAGTATGGTGATTAGGGCACTTGCCTTTTACGTGGCCAACCCAGGTTTGATTCCCCCCCCCCCCCAATATGGCAGCCCAAACTCCAAAATAAATAAATAAATACATTTTAAATTAAAAATTTAAATTAAAAATTATTTTGGGGGCACAACCAGCAGCACTGGGTGGTGGGGTTATGCAATGCTGGAATAGAGCCCCATCCTCATGCTCACCCTGCCCACCGTTTTTTTAACTTTTAGTTTATTTGGGGGGAAAAGGGGGGCAATTTTTTTCTTTTATTAGTAATGGATTGAATCTGTTGAGTCATATCCCCTCACCCCCACCCTGAAAGCAAGTACTTTCAATGGGTTCTTTTTAACAAATACACAAAAGAGTCAGGTAATGCTGCCCACATTCGAAGCAATCCTGGGCCATAAGTCTGCACATCCCTTTGCAGCTGGGCCAGTGATGGCAGAACCTTTTGTTTCGCCTTTATTATTTCCTGTGACCCCCTCACTGCCTTCAAAATAAAGAATGATGCCGTCTTTTCTCTGATACGGCTTTCATGATTGAATTGTGCTGGATGTACCTTCTTCCTGAGCTCATGTTTGCCTTTCTTGACTGTGGCCATCACCATGTCACCCACACCAATGGCAGGGAGTCTGTTCAGTCACCCCTGGACTCCCTTCACAGAGATGATGGACAGAGTTTGGGCACCTGCGTTGTTCACACAGCTGATCATGGCTCCTACTGGAAGACCCAAGGAAATCCAAGTCTGGGTCCCAGAGGACCCACCATGTCCTCGCTTCAGCCGACATCTTGGAGGCTGCAAAGGGCAACTTTTAGTTTTCTATTACTGAGTTGTATGAATTTTTATATTCTTTTAATATTCTGGATATCAGTTCTTTGTCAGATGTATGTGTTGTAAATATTTTTTCCCATTCCATGAATGGATTTTTTTATTTTATGAATGATATATTGAAAGATATTTTCATTTTGGTTTTAATTTTTGGTAAAGCTCAGTTTACTTCAGCATTTCCCCCTCTGATGTTTATGCTTTTTTTTTTTTTTTTTTTTTTTGCCTGAAGAGACTTTTGCCTACTACCAGGTCACAGAAATTCTCTATTACTATCATTGCACCTAAAGTTTTTGTTTGGTTGTTTATTTGGGGGTGGGGATCACACCTAGTGGTCCTTAGGTGCTAGTTTTGGTTCTGTACTTGTGGTCAGGCCATCCCTGACCACACTCAGGGGACAATGTGGTGCTGAGGTTTGAACCCAAACCTCCTCCATGCAAGACCTGTGCTCCAGCACACTGAACCATCTCCAGACCATTTTTTTTCTTTTTCTGTTTTGTTTTGCTCTATGATCCATTTTGTGTGATTTGTGTGTGTGTGTTTTGTATGCAGTAAGGATAGTATCCTCTCACATCGAGAGCCTTGTTGTTTTCATTGGGGATTTTTAAAATCCCTGATATTGATAAAACAACCAGTATTATGTTCCTTTACCAGCAAAGCTAGGGGATTGTTGATATTGTGTTTCAAAATGAAAAGCTTTTGTCTCTGTTGATATTCTTTATTTTATTTTTTCTTTAATAATCATTATTCCTGACCTTTTAGTTTTGTTTTGTGTTCTGGGGTTATACCAGCAGTACACAGGACTTACTTTTGACTTTTGCTTAGGGATCTTTCCTGGTCAGATTCTGCCAATCATTTGTGGTGCTGGGGATAGATCCTGGGCCCACAGTATGCAAGCCCTACCACTTCGTTCCTCCTTATAATTATTTTACCTTGCTCTTCTTTTTCTAGCTTCTTGAGGTGGGCCTTTGGTCATGTATTTTGCTCTTTTAGACTTTGCTCTTTTTTAAATTGTAGCTTTTAAACTTACAAATATTCCTCTGTGCACTGTTCCAGATGCATCTCATAAGCTTTGATGTTTTGTATTTTCAGTTTTTCTCTCCAGTTCAGATATTTCCTTATTTTCTTCGAGATTCTTCTTGTAAGTGTGCTAACTTCCAAATATCTGAGGCGACCTTAGATATCTTTTTGTGTTTCATGGAGCAGGAGAGGAGGTTGTCCCAGACCATGAACCTTCCAGGATCACATTGGCTGTGTGGAGGCCCCAGACTTGGAGCTCAAGGCCCAGTGCTGGTCAGGCAGTGATTGGAAACCATGGAACCATCCTCCAAGATCTTTTTTGACTTATAATTGCTAAGGACAGAGAACATACTTTGCACACTTTAAATTTATTCACGCTTATTAAGTCAGTTATATTGACTTAGTTATACTTGGGCAAGTAATATGAAAGGAAATACTTATTGTGGAACCCAGAAGATGAAGCTCAGAGAGAGCACCCGTCTTGCAGATGTGAATTTGGTCCCTGGTGCATGTTGAGTGTGATCCTGGGGGCTCTGGGGTGGGACTTCAAGCAGTGTGGCCACCCTGGGCAGCTCAGAGTCAGCAACACAGGGTGGGAAGGAGAGCCATTAACCCCAGGACTTAATACTCACCTGTGATTATTTTTGTTTTTCCTGTTTTTTTTTTTTTAAATTTTAAATGTATATACACATGTAGTTAATTTAGCAATAACTGAGAGAAGACAAGACTCATTATTCGGGGCTGGAGTGATAGCACAGCAGTGAGGGCGTTTGCATGCACGTGGCCGATCTGGGTTCAATTCCCAGCATCCCATATTGTCACCTGAGCACCGAGTAATTCCTGAACGCAGAGTCAGAAGTAACCCCTGTGCGTCGCTGGGTGTGACCCAAAAAGAAAAAAAAAGGCTCATCTGTTATGGTTTAGACTGTCCACATCTATGTTTCATTTTATTCCCCCAGAGCTCTATTATTATATGCACCTTTTTAAAAATGTTATATCTTGATGATGCACAGACCTTTTCATTATTATAAAATGATGGTCACTGTCTCTTTAGTCTTTGTCTTCTTTAACTCTGTTTTATCTGAGATTTATGTAGCTATTCCTCCTCTGTGTTTACCGTTTGTATGTCTCTGTATCTTTTTCCATATACTTATTTTCATGGCCCGTATTGCTAGAATTAAAACTCACCCCTCATTTGGAGCAGGAGTTCATAAACTGTAGCTCACGTTCTGTGTTTCCAAAGCCAATGAGCTTCTGTTTCTCTGGAGCCTTTCAGCTTGCGCATCACATAGCAGTCTCGGCCAGTGCACAGCTTCTGTTCCACAACAAAGGAAACACCAAAGCCTCCTGTCATTTCCTGCTAGGCCACAGGTGCTTGCTGCTCCAAGGGGATTTCCAAGAAGACAGACAGAGTCATTGATTCTCAGTAACATAGTCAGGCTTCGGGCACAAGTATCTAGAGGAACGAAAGATCCCCATACCCCAATAGACAGAGACAAGCTCTGCGACTCTCCTTCTGGGATTTTGATATTTTTTCCTTCAGATTTTCAGGCACCTTCTCATCTCTTTTCACTCTGGTCACCTTGACTCTCTTGTTCCTTGCCCTTCACTGCTCTCATGGGGCAAGTTTCCAATTCCTGAGCATCTAATCATCAATGTAATGCTTGGCTCTTGTCTGAAAACAACACTACATGGATTGCTAATTTTATTCCCAAGGAGCTTGTTTTACTTTATACGTTTGAGATTCTGAATTTTCAACACCTATGAAATACTAATTATGAAGTTATAGAGGTATTTCCCACTAAATTAAATTAATAGACTTGCCAGTTTATAGTTTAATGAGGGACCATTAAAAGTTGAGTTGTACCTTCATTATAATTGCAAAAAAAAGTGATAAACATGTAAATACCAATCAATAAGAGACTAGTTAAATAACTGTGCATCCATACAGTGGAATGTTATGAACACATTAAAATGGTTTGTTGATATAAAAAAACTAATAAATGTGAAAAGGTATTCACAACAAATTGTTGAGTGAAAAAAAGCAGATTGTTGTATTAGATTAGGAAATTTCTCTTGTTTCTATTTATGTAAAATTGGATACATATGTATCTATATACACAGAAAACTCTCCACAAGGATTCTATCGATATATTTATTCAATTCCTGCAGTGTGAGAGATGCCTGATAAATTAGCTGTCTGTGGCGTGAGGGAAATTAATATATATATATGTATATATATAAATGTTTCATGCATTGTATCATGCAGATGAACATATTTGCTTTACTAAAAGTTCTTTCTCACCTCTAGAATAATGAGCTACAGAGCAGACTGGACTACTTAATGGAAACGCAGTCAAAGACTGAAGTGGAAACGAGAGAGATTGGAGTGGGCTGTGATCTTCTACCCAGGTATTCTGGAATTTCCTGTTTTTCTGACTCAAATTCCTCTTTGATTTAAACAAAGATTACTCTGTTGAGCTGGTATTATAAGAAGTGCTTTCTTTCAATCAAAAATGATTCTGCTAATGGGAAGTTGTGAGTGCTTGGGTCTGCCTGGTGCTGTGAAGAGGGGGCTGTGGGCAGGGGAGACCAGAAGAGAGACTGCAGCCCTCTCAGAGTCTGGTCTCCATGAGCGTCTGTCCCCCCTCCCCTCTGCACCTCCCCCCTTCTGTCCTTCTTCCTTCAATCCTCTCTCCCTTCCTCCCCCCTCCTTTCTTCCCTTTTTGGTTCATCCTTCATGAAACGCCTGTTGGATGCCTCTTCTGTGCCAGACGTTCATGACATACATGGACAGGAGCAGGACCTGGTTCCTAGCCCTGGGTGTAATCTAGAGGGGGCACGTTGATGTGTCAGCAGACTTTGTTGGTTTGGGATCATACCTGGCCGTACTCAGTAGCTGCTCCCAGCTCTGTACTCAGTGTTCACTCTTAGCGTGTTATGGGCTACCAGGTGGTGCCAGGGATTGAGCCTGGGCCTCCTGTATGCGGTGCATGTACTTAGCCACTTAGCGCTCTGCCTGTCCCATGTATGAGCAGACCCAAAGTGTCATACCAAGAGAGGGAAGATCAAATCTTAAGCCAAGGTCAGCAGTCCCGTGTTGTAACAGGGTGGTGTCAAATCCTGCTCAGATTCACAAACAACCTGTCCTGTTCACTTGCAGAGATTCCTTGAGTGCATACACAGTTCCTCCAAGCTGGCTTGTGGAGTTGTTTCTGAACTGGAGGGCTGACTCTATGTCTGTTCCCCACCTCATAAACTGCCAGGTCCAGAGGAGACACCCAGCAAGTTTCCAAGGAGGACCTGATGATGTGTGTTGGGTGGCTGAGTGCAGACGGGTGCATTCTTGTGAGATCTGGGTGTTGGTGTGTACCATACTAGACAGTGGTGTAGAGCAGAGGAGAGCAGGACCCTGGCCTCTGGATGTTTCCCTGTGTGGGAACAGCTGAGAAGTCATAGGCCTGGAAAGATAAGAGCCAGCTGGTGGCTCTGAATGAGCAGAGACGTGCCTTGAGGCTGGGTATGTTTGCTGGGGCCTCAATTTCCCATCTGTGCAGTTTGCACAGATGACTTCTCCGGTCTGACCACCCATAGCCTGTGTCGAGGCCTCATGTCCCTGTTCAACTCTCCCCACTCATTACTGACATTGTCTTTTTTGTGTCCCCTTAAAATGACCTGCTGGCCCTTTTCCCAGAATATTAAAGGCAGCAGTAAACTCATTTTTGGGTTTTTGGGATTTTTGTTTGTTTGTTTGTTCGGGTCGGTACTTGGCAGTCTCAGGCCTAATCCTGGCTCTGTGCTCAGGAATCTCTCCTGGCAGGGCCCAGGGGACCCTTTGTGGCACCAGGAACTGAACCTGGGTAAGCCACATGCAGGGCAAGTGCCTTACCCTCTTTACTGTCTCTCCAGCACGAAACTCATTCTTTAATCATCTTCTCATTTCTTTCTGATAGAAGCAAATTTCTGCTATCATTCTGATGTAATTTACAGAAAATATTATTATTATTATTATTATTATTATTATTATTATTTATTGGGCTGGAGCAATAGCACAGCAGGTAGGGTGTTTGCCTTGCAAGCGGCCAACATGGCCAACCCTAGTTCAATTCCTCCACCCCCCTTGGAGAGCCCGGCAAGCTACTGAGACTATCTCACCCGCACGGCAAAGCCTGGCAAGCTACCCATGACATATTCGATATACCAAACACAGTAACAATTGTCACAATGGAGACGTTACTGGGCCTGCTCAAGCAAATCGATGAACAACGGGAGGACGGTGACAGTGATTATTATTTATTAGTGAATCGCTGTGAGGTACAGTTACAAACTTACGAACTTTCGTGTTTGCATTACAGTCATATAATAATCATTTACTCATCTCTCCACCAGTGCCCATTGTCCTCCACCAATGTTCCCAATATCCCTCCCACCACTCCCATTCCTCACCCTCCACACCATCCCACCTCAGCGGCAGGGCATTCCCTTTTGTTCTCTCTCTTTTTGGGTGTTGTGGTTTGCAATAGAGGTATTAAGTGGCCATCATATTCAGTCTATAGTCTACTTTCAGCACACATCTTTCAATTCGAATGGTCCTCCCAACATCCTTTAGTTGGTATTTCCTTCTCTGGCTGAGCTGCCTTTTCCCCCAGCATGTAAGGCCAGTTTCCAAGCCATGGAGCAGACCTCCTGGTCCTTATCTCTACTACTCTTGGGTGTTAGTCTCCCATTCTGTTACTTTATATTCCACAGATGAGGCAATCTTTCTATGCCCATCTCTCTCAGAAAATATTTTTTTTAAATGTGAATACAAAGGGGAAGATAAAATGTAAGCAGATTCTGGGTCTCTCTGAAGTGGGGTGTAAAGTGCATGATATGAAGGTTGCCCCAAAGAATGACTGATCACATCCAGGGGTTCCTTTTTCCCCCAGTACAAATAGTTTGGTCATTTCTCTGCTCCCCCCAAGCCCCCGCAAGAAGCAAGTGACTTAGTCCATTTTAATTACCCACATAATAAATCTTGTTTGGCTAAAATGGGTAAAAAACTATGTCTGAGGCCAATAAATTGTTTGTTTTTTGAATTTCCACATTCTGGCTTACAACAAGCTTTTCAATCTGCATGCCACAGGCTAGCCTGAAGCGAACTTTTATGGCGAAGTTATGAAACCACAAAGCGGTTTTCATAATGGAAGTGCTGACAGACCCTTCACTTACGGCCGCTCGAGCCTGGGAGCTGCTGCAGGCTCGAGAGGCAGCTTTGCCATAAACGTAGCGTTTGCTTTCCCTCAGGATCCATCTTAGCACTTTAACGACCCGGGCAATCCGCAAAGGAAATGAAAACTATGTCCCCCCATTTCCGAAATGGCAGAATCATATTTCACTGGTTTCCTCCTGCCTGTTTATGAAGTGCCTACTATGTGAAAGGACTGCGCAAGGCAGGCGCTGGGAGTGTGGGCTTGGCTTGCAGATCCCGGACAGTGGACCTCTCATCTGGGCCCCTCTCAGCTGGATTCTGGAAGACCCAGTAGGTTACCAGAGAGCTGGCCTTTTGAGATCTGGCCTGCCTGCCCTGCCATACCCCACAAAAGAAACCTGAGAAACTCAGCTTTTAAAGCAATTTCACATTGAATTCCAGGTAAGATTTTGCTTGGAGAAAGGAGTCTATGATCAAACACAAACAGGAACCTCCTTGGTCTAGTGAAATGCTTGTGTTTTTGAGCTATCAGTCTTGAGGATCAGAGACATAAAGCAATTCCCTGGGGGAAATCACACAGCAGCATTAGAACTCAGTCTTCTGAGCCCAGGGTTAGGTTAAGTTCTGTAGTTACATGTGTGGTTTTCAATACTCCATACATGAGAGTTGCTAACTTGTGTTGTATATGTTGAACAAAGTCGTGTTGGAAAATTCCCAGTTCTTACTTTGACTTCAAACTTGCATCTAACTAATACAAGATTCCATGGTGTTTTTTCAGAATATTTTTTCAGCAACCTTTCCAGAGGTTTTAGATCAATTACAGCATTGAATGAAGCCTCAAATGTGTGGGAGTGTTGTTCCTACTCCTTGTTCTTCCCCAGAGAACTCCACAGTTGTGGGTCCCCTTCAGCCAACTTCTAACCGAGTAGAGCTTTGGGCAAGTTACTTAGCTCTCTTAGTCTTTGCTTATTTCGTCCTGAAAATTAAAATAAGGAAGAGAATATTATAAAGGTGTAACAAAGATGTGGTCAGTCTCACAGCTGCTCCGTCCCAGGCTGAGCCTCCGAGAAAGTTCAGACCTCCTCCCTCTGCCCCTTTGCTCCTCTCCCTCCTACCCCCTTCTCTCTCCCTCCCTCCCCTACTCTCCTTCCTTGACCCTCACTCTCTCTCTTCTCTCTTTCCCTCTTTCCTTGCCTCTCTCCCCCTCCTATACTATACATACACTCACACAGACACACATAATCACTCGGACACATACACAGAGACACACACTCATATATCCTCACACAAGTAATCTCATACAACACAAAGACACACACATTCCCACACAGTAACACCCACACACATTAACATACTCTCACACACAGACCCAGGCATGCACTCACACACATACACACACACACACACACACACTCATACATTCAGTCACATGCACAGACATGCAGTATCATTTCCATCAAAATTGGCCCCTTGGATTTAGTGAAATTGAATGTATTTACTTTGGTTTGTGGGCTGGAGTGACAGCAGTAGGGCGTTTGCCTTGCACGCAGCCAGCCCGGCCGAGCTGGGTTCGATTCCTCCGCCCCTCTTGGAGAGCTCCGCAAGCTACCGAGAATATCTCACACGCACAGCAAAGCCTGGCAAGCTACCCGTGACGTATTCAATATGCCAAACACAGTAACAAGTCTCAAAATGAAGACGTTACTGGGCCCGCTCAAGCAAATCGATGAACAACGGGAGGACAGTTGGTTTGTGGGCACCCCCAACAGTTCTCAGAGCTTCTCCTGCTCTGTACTCGGGATCCCCTGGCGGGGCTAGGGAAATGCTTTGCAGTGCAGGGTGGTCAGGCTGACTGAGTGCGTGAAGGTGCATCTTTCCAGCCTCCCCTGCTGCTCTACTAGGCCCAGGCCTTTTAGGGAATGGAGGTTCACTGGGGGCAGGATCTGTCTCTGGCTATTTTGGAAACTTTGGACAAAGTCCAAACTGTTGAGTCTTCCCTGGAACCTGGATTTGAAATTATCCCCACCAGCCAGCTGCGATGGCATGTCACTCAGACATGGGTGCCAGGCAGTGACTGTTCCTTCCTCTCTCTGCGGCAGGTGCCATGGGCCTGCCTGAGCTCCATGGTGCTCTTCTCTTTTCCACTTGCTCCTTCTGGAGGTCTCCAGCCTCCAGCCCTCCCTCAGGGCTCGTGTCTCCAGCCTCTCCAGCCACATCCTCCCCACTTCATCTCTTGGGTACTGATGCGAGAGATAAGCAAAGGAAGGAATCACTGCAATTTCAAGGACTTTCAAGGCCTGTTTTTTAAAATACAAACTTGAGTTTGGTTGGTATGATTTGCTATGCTAATTAAGGCCATGGAGAGCAATTTCATGCGAAGAAAAAAGTGAAAAACAGCAAGAGCGACAACAGGAATGTCCCTCTCTCCTGCCCCTTAGTGAAACTTGCTTTCCAGCAAACTCATAAATTAGGTCTTAATAGGTTCAGTTTAATGAAAAATATTCCCAGCGGTCATAAATGCCTGGCACATAGTAAGCACGTTAACCTGCCTACATTCCATATTTCTGTGGTAGAGACCTGAACACAAAATAGCTTTTTTTAGTTAAAGCTTTATTTGCTGATTCTGCAGTTGTTCCCCTACCCGTCCCCCCCCACCCTCCCCAACTCCCACCCCAGGAACAGCCCCTTTATGAATTAGTAAAAAGTTAACAATATCCTTAATGTGGTAAAAAGAATGGTTGAATTTCAGTTCTGGGGTTGAAATGATGTGTTCTTAAAGTTCTGTTGTTTCCTAGTGTTTAAATAAATCCCTTCATTTTTGAAAGACTAGGCTATTCGAGCCTGGCTTTGCAATCCAGAAGGCCCACCTTAATAAATATTTTTGTACTTAGTGGGCTTTTTGGACACTGTCACCAAAGACAACTTGCATAGGTGGAATTTTCACAGTAGCTAGCACAGACCGTCCTTTGCCCTGTCCCAGGTCGCTGCTGAGCTGCAGCTCTGACTGGTTTTCCCATGGTGACCCGTGACACTCTGCCTTCCCTGATATTTTTGTCCTCTGCTCTGCTTTGTCACCTGTATACTCTGCCTGGTCTGAGATTGGGTCAGGAAGATGACTGAGATATGGGTTCATCCTTGGGGAATTGTAATGATCAGAGGATGTGGGGATGGGTGGGTGTGATAAGATTCCCCACCAGTGTGTCCAAAACCTGTGGGACAGTAAATTTTGAGAGGTCTACAGGAAGGGCAAGTGGGGACAGGTGGGAAAGACACACCGAATGTCTGGGGGAGACACATGTCGAGTTGGAAATTCCCCGCCGGCTTCTAACAGGCCCCATTAAAGAAGCATCTACCGGCTCCACTTCAACTGCTGATGGGGTAACAGGAGATGTTAGTGATGTGTATTGTTGAGCTAATCTGAATCTTGTGGAACCAAAAAACATGGTTCAAGAACTGCGAACTCTGGAGCACTGTGTGTGGTGTGTGGCAAAGGCCCTCACTGGGAACGTGGCCACTACCACACAGTCCTCTGTGGGGAAGATGAAGTCCTCACCCCTTGCCTCTTCCATTTCTATCCCTTGTCACCATCTTGCCCTTCTGACACTAGTCATTTGGGAATATTGTCATGGAGTGAGGTTTGGTTTGAGTCCTGAAAGACTTGCTAAAATTTATGAGATGAGTTTGACCAGGGAAATCTTTGAGGCCACTAGGAGCAAGGCAATGGCTGAGCCAATGAACAGTGCAGGGTATCCTGAGGATGCGTTGCCTGTCGGGGTCAGCGGGAGAGATAGGTGCTGACGAGTACTCGGTGGAGTGACAGGGACACTCTGAGAGTTCTAAGGGTATAACATGCCCCAGTTGTCTATCTAGGAAGATGTGTCTTTGCTAAAAATGTATTTAAAGAGGGAGAAGATTTTGCCAGCACTAAAAGCAGAGAGAACATTTAGGATACTACTGTGATATGCAAAGAAATTCACGGTATCACAGTCCTCCCGTTGTTCATCAATTTGCTCGAGCGGGCCCAGTAATGTCTCCATTGGAGACTTTGTTGTTACTGTGTTTGGCATATCGAATATATCACGGGTAGCTTGCCAGGCTCTGCTGTGCGGGCGAGATACTCTCGGTAGCTTGCCGGGCTCTCTGAGAGGGGCGGAGGAATCGAACTCGGGTCGGCCATGTTGGCTGTGTGCAAGGCAAACGCCCTACCGCTGTGCTAAATTAGATGACAGAAAAGTTGCTAAGAGAATAGAAAGATAGATGAGATGACAAAAAAAAAATTTAGAGGTTGATTCCATACTCATCTGCTTGAAAGGGAAAGGGAGACCATGGAGGAATGTTTTTATAGACTGAATTTTGCAGAATTTTTTTTAACCTGGAAGGAGTAGAAGTAATTTCTGATCTCTTAGTCTTATGAACCACCTAATTGCAAGGATGGCTGGAAAATGCAGTTGAGTTACATGTCCAGAAAAAAGAAATATGTCTCTTCCTTACTCACCAAATCCTATTAATCCTGCCCCACACCCCCGCTGTCTCAGTGGTTTCTGCTTGGTCTGCTCACAGCTGGCCTCTTGCATATTCACGCTTGTGCTTGCATTGCTCAAGTTCTGGCAAAAAAGGAAAATTAAAGAGATTTAAATGCAGGGACTTATGCAAAGCTTTAGATAGTGAAGGGAAACCCAAGAGGTCATTGAACCTACAATCCTGGTTGCTGTGTCTAGTCTGGGCCTGAGGTGGCAGGGGAAAGTGTGTGGTGTGTGGAATAGGTCCTAGCTGGGGAACCTGACCACTCCCAAGCTGCTGTCTGTGGGGAAGACAAGTCCTGGTCCCTTGGGTCTTCCATTTTATCATCCCCTGTCACCATCTCCCAACTGTCTAAACCAACTAGAAGCTGAAGAGTAAGTGGCACCATGATGGCGACTTTGAGCTCAGAGTCCCAAGGTGCCAAGTGAGGTGGAAAAGAAAGCAGCTATGAACAAAGAATGTCCAGCACAGTCTTCCTGTCTGTTGCAGACCCAATATGTCGTCTTCATATTCTTATGTGTATGGATGTCCACCTGGCCCCCGGTGCCGTGTAATCCCATCAGCAGCCAAGACTCAGAGACTATAAAAACCAGATCCCGGAGGGAGAACAGTGCAGTCTCCTGCCCCCGCGCCTGGCATTCGCGGCCGCGCGACATCTTATTATGACATCTCATTCCTACTTTGACAAACTGGCAGGCTACCGAATGTAACCTGCCCACACATCAGAGTCTGGCAAACTCCCTGTGTCGTACCCAATATGCCAAATACCAGTAACAATGATGGGTCTCATTCTCCTAAAGAGCCTTGAATATAATCTCAGGACTAGGATGAAGGAGACGTTACTGGGGCCTGCTCGAGGCAATCGACGAATAACAGAATGATCTGTGATCTGATCTGTGATCTGAATGTCCTACTAAAAGAGGTGCATGGCTTACCCTTTTCTCAATCATGGCTATCTCCACAACCTCTCACTCTCCAGACTTTCAATTTATTATTATTATTATTATCATCATCATCATTATTATTTTGTGTGTGTGTATGTGTGTGTGTGTGTGTGTGTGTGTGTGTGTGTGTGCCACATCTGTGCTTGGGGCTTACTCCTGATTCTACACTCAGGGATCACTCCTGGCAGTGCTCAGGGGACCATATGGCATGCCAGGAACTGAACCCACGTCAGTCATGTGTACGGTGAGCACCCTATCTGCTGTGCTGTCCCTCCAGCCACATCCAGACTTTTCACATTTAAACACGACAGTTAGCTGCACACATATGACCTGCCTTTTAAGTGTGGAAGCGATCATTTCCTAGAACTGTGTACTTTATAAAGAAGGTGGAGACTTCTGTTTCATCTTCGTGACTTGCCTTTTCTCCTTTCCCAGCCAAGAAGAGAGGACTCGGGACATCGCAGTGCCTTCCAGGAGCTACACTCCATACACAAGAGTCTTGGAGTTAACCGCCAAGAAAAATCTGACTTAAGCACTCAGACACTACCCTTTTGACAGGCCTTGGTGCCCTACGACTTGCAACCTGGAGTGACTGTTACTTTGTCCTGGACACAGTTTAAGTCAGAATGGACATGGCAGAGGTCAGAATCCATTTCTAAAACAAGAAGGAGAAGGAGGGCTGGGAGAGGGGCTCCTAAGGGCTGATTTCAAACACCCACCAGCTAACCCTGCTGTACTGGGCCAAGGTTCATTTTCCATGATTCCCTCATGATCAATTTTCTATTTAGACTTTGGTTGGGAGGAGAAAGGGCATTACTTTGAAATCTCACGTGATTCACACCAGGATCTTTTATTACCGCATAAAGGTGTGGTTTACCTATGAAAGTATTAGAGACAGCGTTTCTCTGGTGCTGAGTGGCTAGCCCATGGTAACACTGGTACCTGGGAGACTTGAACCTGGGCAGAAGGAGCAGCCGTCTCCTCCTGGTCACGAGCTGGTGTGGGAACCACAACCGCCTCAATCTGACATGCTAAGCCTTTGGTTTAGTTTGTGCCTTATACCTTTACTGACTGGGTCTCCTGAAATCACTGTATTTATTCAACCTGTGATTCCCCCCCCCCCTTTCTCACTTTAACTGAAGGAATTTTATATATTGTGGAAATTTAATCATGTAATATTTTCGGTAACATAATCTGTATTTTTGTGAAATGAATGAGTAATTTGTTCATGCATGCTCGACTTTGGTATTATAATTGGTGTCACATGTGTTTAATAAATGCCATATATTTTGTTCTACTAATGTTTCTGTGGTTGTACCCATGACCTTGTAGAATTACACAGAAGGGAGAAAGATTTCAGCTTTGGGTAGAGTGTCCAAGTCAGAACATGGGGATCTCTTCATTAGTCCAGCCCAGAGAAGCATTTATGAATCATAAGAGAATGGAGTAGTGAGTGGGGAGAAAGAGGGAGATTTAGTCTAAACAATATGGACAAAAACTGAAGAAAAAAATGACCAGAGATGACCCTTTGTGATCTTTGATCAAATGAACTTTAATGGTTCCCGACCCACTAACCCACCATCTGCAGTTACTCCTTCAATATTCCAATATACCTGGATATTGAATTATAATTGGGGCAGTTGGACTTTAATATTATATAGCAAATGAATCTCACTGAATGAAGACCAGCAGGCTTTTTTTTAAATATAAAAGCCACTATATCCTATAGTAATGCCTCAATATTTTTGTCCTAGTGCTCCCAGGATTTCTCAAAACACAGAGCATATATGTTTGCATTGTTTTAAAACAAATCCAACCCAACAGGAGAAGCAGAATTAGATGCTATTGTGAATGTGGGTTCTGGAGTTCCCCTGAATTCAGTCATGGGGAATTAGCCAGGGACCAACCACAGAACTGCTTTGAGCCCCTATGGAATGGGGGCAATTTTCTTAACCTGGGTGTCATGAAGGTTAGAATTAATAGCAATGAAGTTTTTGCACCACACCCAGTGGTGCTCAGGGCTTATTTCTGGCTCCGTGCTCAGAGGTTATCCTGGCAGTTCTTGGGGGATCAATGGCAATAACAGGAATTCAAATCTGGACTGGCCACATGCAAGGCAAGTGCCTTACTCTCTGTGCTCTCTCCCTCTCTGCCCTGATGTCTATGAAGTTTTAAGAATAATGCTTGATACAATGCGCTTAAAAATATTAGCTATTATAACAATTAAAATAGGGTGGTACTGGAATAAAGATAGACTCTCAAATCAGTGGAACAGAATTGAGAGCCCAGAGATGAACTCTCAGATCTGTGGACAGTTAATCTATGCCCAACAAGCTAGGTGCATGACGTGGACCAAGAAAAACCTCTTCAACAAATGGTGCTGGGGAAACTGAATAACCACAGGTAAAAACAATGAAGCTGCAGGGACAGAAAGATAGTACAGTGGGTAAGGCACTTGCATTGCACAAAGCCAATATAAGTACAATCTCTGGCACCACATATGATTCCCTGAGCTCTTTTGAGCACAGAGTCAGGAGTAATCCCTGAGTACAGCCAGGTGTGGCCACAGAATCCAAAGGAAAGAAATGATCTTGGGCCCCTATCTCGCACTGTTTCCAAAAAGTAAATTCAAAGTGGGTGAAAGAACTTGAGACTCATCCAGAATTTATAAAGTACACAGAGGAAAGTAGACAAAACTTCAGAATGTGGATCTCAGAGGGATCTTTAATGACTTAACTACGATGACAAAGAGAACAAAAATAAATAAATGATACTTCACCAAATTAAAAAGTTTTGCATAGCTAAAGAAACGTAAGCTAAATAAAAAAAAAACACCTACAGAATAGTATTGTAACAATACATCAAACAAAGGGTTTATATTCAAGATAAAGAAAGCAAAGTTCACATCAAAAAAACCAATAATCCCATCCAAAAATACAATGAGAGGAGATGAACAGACAATTCTCCAAAGAGGACATTCAGAAGAACAATGGGCATATTAAAAAGTGTTTGTTGTCACTTATGAGGGAATGAAAATCAAAACAGCAAGCTTACACCAGCGAGAATGGCAAGTATTAAAAAGGCTAGAAAGAACCAGCCTTATCAAAGATGTGGTGAAAATAGAAGCAGCATTCACTGTTGGTAAGAGTGTTTTCTGTTTCACAATATGAAGAGTCCTCAACAAAGTAAGAATAGAACTTCCATAGGACCCAATAATTCCACTTCTTGATATCTACCCTGCAAGCATAAAAAATTCAAAGAGATATGCATACCTATGTCCATTACAACACATAGTGAACATCTAGGATATAGAAATAACCCAAATGTCCAATGGCAGATAACTGAATAGAGAGGTGATGGCATATCTACATGATGGAATACAGGATCAAGCTATGAAGCCACTGCAATTGAGATGGGACTGGAGGGTGTCATCTTGAGCAATGTTTAAGGCAGTGTGAGAACAAATACCATGATTTCACTTATTTGTGAACTGTAGAAAGACAAAACAAGGGAATAGACAATATCAAACAACAAACCCAAATTCTTGGATCACAAAACTGACTACAGAGCAGAAGGGGAAGGAGAGGGGGAGGATGAAGCTCGGACTGGAGGTGACATAAGGACAGTGGTGGAAGGTCAAAATCATTTTGGTGGCGGTGGGATGCAGTAACTTTGTACATCAATACCATAAACTTTCACAGTACTGCAACCATATTCCATAAATTATAATAACATTTTAATTTAAAAATATTTGTGATTATCATTATGTACTTTCACAACCACTTTTCACTTACTATGACAGTTCTTTATACACACCTGATTTTTGCTAGAGTTAATTGGATTCCATTTCATTGTTGTACTGATTCACTCAACCTATCTCCTAATGTTGGGCTTTTGGGAGTCCTCTAATGAACTATCTTGTGCAAACTTCATTGTACACTTACTAATTATTTCCTCAGGAAAATTTTCCAGCAGAGGAATTGCTGAATCAGAACTAATGCATAATGTAAGTATCTTTGGGCATCTGGCTCAATTTGGCTAAAGGAAATTTGAATCTGTTGAAATATTCACCAACAGGATGGAAATGTTCTTTTCCAAGTCCTTTGCCAGCACTGGGGATTAGACTTGAAATTGTATGTAGTTTTGGGCTTCAGGCAAACCCAACCCTCCAAACGGAGGCAGTGAAAACAAAGTTCCTTCCGGATATTGCCTTTGGATACCTGAGTTGAAATGGCAGGTGTAAGCTGCAGGCTCCCAGCCATCCCAGGCCCCGGGTGCTGGGCAGCTGGTAGGAAACAGGACCAGCTCCTGGAAGCAGAGACAACCTACTGCTTAGTGAGCCAGAAGCAGAGTCAGCCACCCGGACAGAAAAAAATCAGGCCATAGCTGGAGAGGGCAGGCAAGTAGGACATGACTCCAAGTCCTTTTCAGGGCCAAGTGGGGGAAGAGGATTCCTGGGAAGTGCTGGGAGACAGTTCTCCAGTAGAGGGCACCCCACCTGATCCCAGAGTCTAATCTGGCACTCTCTCTTCTCTACCTTTTTGTCCTGACTCAGGCCACTTCTCTGTTGTGGCTCTTCTGGTACCAGCAATTGGAAGCCAGGCAAGTTCAGTCAGTGCCCACCGGTTTCTGGGAAGGCAGAGACACATGTCAAGACCCTAGTGCTTCCCACATTTGTTCCCAGTGAGCTTGGCACCTCTGAATCCTGCAGATACTTATTATTCAACCTTCTCTTTCTTACTCCTACATAGAATGAGCCCCTCAGGGAGGAGACTCATCTCAAACTTTCAGATGCACGAAGAAATTGACTAAGGAAAAGTTCTAGAAAAAGCCTTGGCTGAGTTCCTGAGATGGGCAATTTATACACATCTAGTCTTGGTACCAGTGATGTATGGATGGTATTATTTCTATTATTTGGTGACTAGGAAGCTGAAACTTGACGGGAGATGAAAATTGCCTGACCGATTACAGAATATGTATGTGAGGGGGCTGGCAAAGAGTCTGCCCCATGTCTGTCACTAAATCCTAACCCCTCTAGTCAAGTCACAGGTGCTCTGGGAGACTCAGTATCACAGTACGCGGCTTTTCCCAGGAGGCAGGTACAATTGCAGGTCCTTCCTAGGCTTTCCAAATCACAGTACATAGGGTAAAAGAGGCTAACCCGCTCAGTCCTATGGTCCTACAGGGTCCCAGTAATGCTGCTGATCACTGCAAAGGAGGTATTTGTTGCACAATGAATATCTGAAAATATCAGGATTTCCTCTTGGACACATCTTAGAGACTTAATACTGGTGAATGGGTTTGTACTGAAGAAAAGTAGAGCAGAATAAAAACAAAATAGAATGGTTGATCAAATACATTGTGGTCTCCCTTCTTCATATGTGCATGTGCCAGTAACCCATTTGACTTTGTCAGGGAATGAAAAGCCCAAAAGGAAAACTGGAGATGTGTTTCTGGAAAACAGAGACCAGAGGCAAAGATAACAGAGGAATGCCACCGGTAAATTTAGGGTAAATTCAGAACTGAGTGCTGAAAGGAGGTAATGTGATATACTTGATAACCTTTTAATACCTGTATTGCAAACCATAATTCCGAGGAGAGAGAGAGAAAGAGAGAGAGAGAGAGAGAGAGAGAGAGAGAGAGAGAGAAAGAGAGAGAGAGAGGAGGGAGGGAGGGGGAGAGAGAAAGTGGGGAGAGAGGGAGGGGGAGAGAGAGGAGAGAGAGAAGGAAAGAGAGGTGTGTCTGCCATAGAGGCAGGCTGGGGTGGTGTGGGGGATTGGTGAGAGGGAAACTAAGGACATTGGTAGTGGGAAATGGTCACTGGTAAAGAGATTGGTGTTGGACATTGTATGACTGAGACCCAATCATAAACAACTTTGTAACTGTGTATCTCATAGTCATTGAATTTTTTAAAAGCTGAATTTTAATTTTATCTTGCAAAAAAAATTAGGGTAATTTGTTAGGTAGGTAATACATGGTAGGACACATAGATAATAGAAGTACATAGATGTCCATCCAGTTGCTCTGGCAACATTTACTGAATAGATTTGCCAATTCTACACTTAAGAGAGCTTATAGCATTGTTGAAACCAATTGTTTATACATGCATTGCTTTGTTTCTATGCTCTCTATATTATTAGATTAACCTTTTTACCCATCAATTGGTACCTAACTAGATACCAATTGATTACTGTAGTTTTCCTTAAAGGTTTGAAGTCAGGTAGCACTAACTAACTTTGTTCTTCCTTTCCCATTTTTTTCTATTTCATATCCTTTGCATTACCCTATAAATTTTGT